CGCTACAAGAAATGGCAGCAAACTTCATCATTTTAGTCAATGTTTAAGATAGTTAATAATTATTGTATTAGGTAGAAATTATTATTATTTTATGTGTAGCCTTCCTCTATAAAAAGGAAGGAAGAAATTGAGTGAAAATTGAGAGAAAGAGAGCATGGTTTCTCCTCTCCGGTTGGGTGACTGTACGCACCCTTCCATGTTTGTGGCTTTTATGTTCTATGTCATGTTATAAGTTCTGCTCATTTTTCTCTCTGTTTTTTCTCTCCATTTTTTCTTTTGTGCAAAAATGTTACATGGTATCAGAGCCTTTCCTGATCTTTGAGGGCCTGTGTGAGAGAGATTTGAGGGAAATAGACCACCACAAACTCCGACTAAACCCAAATTGTTGCCAGCAAGTTTTTCTTTCAAAATACCCTTTTTTTTCTTCAAAATACCCTTTTTTTTCTGACCCAACACAGCAAACTTCTTTGACCAAAAATGCAGCAAAGATGCTGTGATGATGAAGGCTACCTTTAGGTCCTTCAATCTTTGAAAGTGGTTGATAAAAGGATACAACCAATTTGTTAAGGCAGAAGAGAGTATGTGAAGCTGTGAAGTTGAAGGTTAACTTAATGTCCTTCAATCTTCTTGAGGCAGAAGATCTGCAAGAAACAAGATCAAAAAATGCTTGTTTGATGATTTTTTTATGTTGCTGGTATGGGTGGTGTTTTATGCTACAGCATTAGTCCAAAAAGGCAAGGATGGCTTGTGAAGGTGCAGGTTGGGACCAAAAGAGTACTCACCATTGCATCAAGTAATTTTCATGATCGAGTAGCCAAATCTTTAGCCCAAGGAAGCTGTAGAAGATGAAAAAGATGATGAGGCAGCACTTTGAGGTACCAAAATCCTTGTTTTTATTAACTTAGAAAATGCAACTTAGTTGCAAAACCTCCAAAATTTGTTTGAGGCAGCAAAATCCAAAGAAGTAAAGCTGCAGTGAAGGAGGAGCTGAAGTTGTTTGAGAAGGATGGTACATGGCTGTGATGAAAAGAAATGGTGAAAACCAAGCACAAGATGGACAGCAAAGAGCTGATCCCAGTGCTTAGGCATAAATCTATTTTTGTTTTGATTTTACAGCTTTAACACCAAGGAGGAGTGTTGGAGTGTGGTGTTCAAGCTGCCAAAGTAGTAGCAAATGGAAAGACGTGAGAGCTGCAACATGACTGCACAGTAGCAGCAAAGTGACAGCACAATGGAGCTTCACATGCGCTACAAGAAATGGCAGCAAACTTCATCATTTTAGTCAATGTTTAAGATAGTTAATAATTATTGTATTAGGTAGAAATTATTATTATTTTATGT